CTGCATGCAAAATTGCATTTGGTAAAAATATTTTTAAGTCTAAAATAGTAGGATCTACTCTAATTCCTTTGATTTATAGATGAAGAATATCAGGCTCTGAAAGATTAAATAATTCTTTGTAGTTAGCTATCTAGAACCTTCCTAGATCTTCCAGTGCCCATTGAAAGTTAAAGGGGTATACCTAGGTGTGGGTTTTAGAGCTCAATTACCTGAATTCAAACTCTATGACTGACACTTGATTTGGGAAATATAGATCCCTTTTGGCCATCAGTCCCCTTCTCAAAAATGGTTTTTGTATTGGTACATGCCTATTTATTGTGAGAAGAAAATGGATTACATAGGAAATGTCCAGCACATAGTAAACCCTAAAAAATATTACCTACTGTTAGTGTTTCCATAAAACCCTTTTCTAGTTTATTAAACTCAAAAACTTCAGGATTAAGCAGTATGTTAGCTTCCTATCTCTGCCATAACAAATTACTACAAACTCAGTGGTTTAAAACTGGACAAATTCATCATCTTAAAGTTCTCACTGGATTATAAATTCAAGGTGCTTGAAGGCATGCTTTCCTTCGTGAAGAGCCAGGGGAGCCCAGACGTAATTTTTTCCTTAACGTTCCCAGGACTTGCATTCCTTAGCTTGAGGCCCCTTCCTCCATCTTCACAGCCAGCAGGGCAGCACTATTCAACCTTTCTCTCACGGACTCGCCTACTATTCTTTTTTTCCATTCTTATAAATAAGTTTTATCAAAGCATAACTTACAATTACAAATTTATATGTAAAATTTGGTGAGTTTTGACAAATGTGTATCATCACATAACCACCATTCCTGTAATCATGATATAGTGCATTTTCATCAGTTAAAGTTCCCTTTTTTGCTATTTTCAAATTCTCTGTTCTTTATTTTTTATTTCCACTATATATTGACAAATCATACTTGTATATATTTATGGGGAATGGTTAAATCAGGCTAAGTAGCACTACCATCTCTTCAAATATTAAACATTTCTGTATTGAGACTTTGAAATTTACTCAGTGATACTAAAATGCACCATACTCAGTTATTAGCTATATTTTTACACTGTAAAATTGATCTAAAAATCAAATAATTCACCTATCTAACTGAAGTTTTGTACCCTTTAACTAACTTCTCTTCATTCCCCTCACCTCAGCCCCTGGTAACCACCTTCTATGCTTCTATGAGTTCAATTGTTTCGCTACACACATAAGTGAGAACATGAGGTATTTATTTTTTTGTGCCTCAGCTTATTTTTCCAGTTCCACCCATGTCACAGTGACAGCATTTCTTCTTTTTAGAAGATTTACTAGAAAGGCAGAGTAACAAAGAGGAAGAAGGAGGTGGGAAACAGAGAGAGAGAACTTCTATCCACTGATTCATTCCCTAAATGGCTGCAATGGCTGGCCTGGGCCAAGCTGAAAGCAGGATTCAGGATCTCCATCTGGGTCTCCCAACATGGATGGAGGGGCCCTAAGTCTTGGGTCATTTACTGTTGCTTTCCCAGGAGCATTAGCAGGAAGCTAGATCAGAAATGGAGCAGCCAAAACTTGAACTGCACTTATTTGATATGCTGGCATTGCAGGTGGCAGCTTAACCTGTTACACCACAACACCAGTCACCCAGAATTTCTTCCTTTTTAAAGCTGAGTCCATTGGGTATATAAACCACATTTTCTTTAGACACCCATCCTTTAGTGCGCACTGAAGTTGATTGCATTTCTTGGTGATTGTGAAAAGTCCAACAATGAACAAGGGAGCAGAGATTTGTCTTTGACATACTGATTTCAATTAAATACCCATAAGTGGGATAACTGGATCACAAGGCAAGTCTGTTATTCATTTTTTTGAGAAACCTTCATACTGCTGCCCACAATGGCTGTAATAATTTACATTCACACCAACAGTGTGTAAGAGTTCCCATTTCTCCACATCTTCACCAATATTTGTTATATTTTTGTCTTTTTCATTGTAGTCATTCTCATAGGCATTAGGTAATATCTCAGTGTAGTTTCAATATTTAGTGTTGTTAGTCCTTTCTCATGTACCTTAGCCATTCATATTTCTTCTTTTGAGACAGATCTATTTAGGTCCCTTGTACATTTCTTAATTGGATTGTTTGTTTTCTTTCCATAGAGTTGAGTTCCTTACATATTCTGGATATTAACTCCTTGCTAGGGACTGAAAATATTTTCTCCGAATCTGAAGGCAGATCTCTTTTCTACTCTGTTAGTTGTTTTCTGTGTTGTGTTCCACTTTTTTTTTTTTTTTACCTCTTTTACTTGTATGGACTCTTCTGTTTACATTGGGCTCAGAAAATTCAAGATAATCTCCCTATGCCTAGATCCTTGATTTAAGCACATATGCAAGACTTTTTGCATCCAAGGTAATATACTCACATGGACATATCTGGGGAACCTCTGTTCTAGTATTTTGAATATAAGAGTTTCTGTAAAAGGAGGAAATATTTTATACTACATATACCTTACTGAAAGACAATCATAGTTTTAAAAATTACTAGGTTAACCAAACCAAGGCACTCAGACCTGACTTAACTGAAACATCTGGTTAGGAATCTGCCCCTTGGCAATCCATTGTTTGATCAGATCAGGGCTATATGAGAGAAAACAAAGAAGAAAGAGGGTGATTTTCTGATTGTGTGGCATGTAAGCACCCTAGATAATTCAAGATCTTTTTCTAACAGTGAAACAAAATGACAAATGTTCATCCAAATCCATGCAGTCTGCTTCCTACACACTTGTCACGGGCATGGGAAATGCCCCAGTTTTTCTCTCCCTCTGTTGACTGTTTTAAATTAAACTCATTAGCAGCCAACAACAACAGGAGTTGCGCCAACAGGTGCTTCATCCTACACTCCTATTTCACGTCTCTTTTTTAGTCATTACACCTGGTTGCTCTGGAGATCCTCCAGAGAAGGCATCTGTTATCACCATCTCCCTTGAAATGCAGGCCCATGGTTGTTGATCTGCAATTATGGAAGAAAATTCAAACTTCCCTGTCTCTGTTGTCTCATGGCTTTACCACCATATGCCAAATCAAATTACATCTCACAATTGGCAGTTGAAAGAAATGAAGAAATAGTCAGCAGGGAAGTGAAATAGCAAACTTGCCTACTTATCTCCTTGACGTAGTCTGATTTTGACTGTTGCCAACATGGAAAGCAGGTATTTTTAAAGGCTCTTGGAGGCCTCTTCTGAGCTCATGCCTTAGGCACCAAAATGTAGATCCATGTACCTAAGCCAGAGTGAGAAGCATGCAACAGAGCGCCCTTGAGGTTCTGAGAATGAACTAAGCTTGGGAAGAAATAACAAGTAGAGGAGAAAGAGGTGAAAATGGAAAGTAAAGTTATCATCTGTCCATAGGTATGATAAGATGGGTGTGCAGGAAAATAACTAGTGGTGTTTGTTAAGTCTTAGACCTAAGAAGGAAAAGATGAATGTTAGCCCATTTCCAGCTAGTAACTAGATGAAACAGTGCTAATGGTACAAGAGTCTGGCTTGTAGAAGCCATTTCTTCACTAAACTTTAGTTTCTGAGTTCTAATTATCCAATAACTGGAAGGAAACAATGATTTCCATATGCCACACTTTTTAAAAAAAAAAAAAAGATACACAGGTAACGATCGAAGTCTCCCTCCACTGACTCAGATCTTGTATCACTCCAGCATCATCAGTGTGATCCTAAGATCCAACGGGATATGTTCTGGCACAAATGAGGGCTAGGCAGGTTTTGTTTGTTTTTTACCTTCAACACACACATTTTCTATGGCTGTTGTAACAAATTACCACAAACGTAGTACTTACAGCAAGACAAACTCATGATCTCACAGTTCTGGAGGTCGGAAATCTGTCCTGAGTTTTATGGGGATAAAACCACAGTGGCGAGATGCCTTCAGTCCTCCTGGAGGCTCGAGAAGAGAATCTTTCCTTATCTTACCATCTTCTACAGGCCATCACACCTTACATCCTGGTTAGCTCCATCTTTAACGTGTGGGGGAGGCTGAATCCAGAGAGGCCTAGAGGAACTTCCTAAGCCTGCCTCAGTTTGAAAACCTGTCTTTAAGTTTCAAATCCCTGGCAGTAAACAACCCAGCCCCAGGCGCTCTTTGCCTAAAGATCACTGAGGTGGTATAATAGGATTGGCTAAAACCCTTTTTCGTCACATCACCCCACCCCTTGCCCACATCCGCTCTGTACCGCAGCTTGATAAACACCTCCCTTTTACAATAAAGTGAGATCCTGCTTCAACTCCCCACCGCATCTGATTGTCCCCCGAGGTTCAAGGAGGCTGAGTGGCGGGTGGTGCACTTCCCTTTCTCAGCCAAGGCAAGCTGAGGGCAGCCTGCCTAATTCCCTGGCAGTGAGGAGGAAGAGTCACCGCACAAAGCACATCAGTCCAACCCCTGCTTCTGTTATTCTATCTCCTTTTTCTGATATACACCCTCTCGCATCCTCTTTCCTAAGGACCTTTTAATCACATTAGTGCCCACTTGGGTAATCTAGGCTAGCCTTCCCATCTCAACACCCTTGATGAAACCATCTCTACAAAGTCCCCATGCTGGATAACACAACGAGTTCCCTGGTTCTGGGAATTAAGACAGGAACTTTCTCAGCTGACCATTATTCTGTCCAGTACAGATACAATTTTCAATCAAGACTTTATGCTAGAATTTACAAATTCAAAGACCTACCAAAAAGCAGGCAGCTAATATAAATGAGTGTAACAGACCCAGGAATTGTGGACATAGATGTGAGTAGCATCCTGAAGCATTCAAAAACTTAAAACCATATGTAATTACTGCGTGGGTGAAACAAAAGATGTCTGTCTGCTTGCCTATTGGAAAGCTTCGTTCTATACCTAACTTTTGCTGTGTGTGAGCCTCTGCTGTCACGATAAAGGAAGAGACTGTTAAATGGCTACATGCACGCTGCAGTCAATTACACATTGACTTGAATGCATGCAAGGCTAACATACAAGAATACACTAAAAAGAAGGGTGGGATTCAGAGGCTGTGTTACCTGAGACAACCATCGAGGACTATCTGGAAGAAATGGGGCAGGAAGGAAACTAACCATCTTAGGAAATACAGGATAAATTAATAAAACATGGTGAGCCTGTTCTTAGCAGGCCCAGAGTTATCTGAACTAAAGACAGTCATTGACCACTAATGTTTGAAAGTAGTGACAGCAGCTTCCTATCAAGAGTTCCAAGGACTTAGGCAAAAAGAGTAACAATGTCACATTTCTGTTGGACTTCATGTTAAAGGGTTTCTTCCAGCCACTGAGGTTTGGGATGTGTTGTAAGAGAAAGGAATTTGACCCAACTTGTAAACACATGTATTTGGCTTTGGTAAGAACAAATTCATCATTATTTAAGGTGTCCTAGGTTAGTAGACATATTCTGAAGCCTGCTTCGGGAATCAGAAAATCCATCTAAGTTTTATAAAGATTTAGAATGAGGGCCTTGAAGAAATGATTTTAGGAAACCCAGTGTCCATGTCGACATACACAGTATGATAAACATGTGGCAGACAGAAACAAAAGAATTATGAATATTGTTAGTGGGGAAGTCAACTGTGGCATGCATACAGGGAGCATCAGAGTTCAAGGAACATTCTAAAGAGGAGAGGGATGTGCGCTTTCAAAACCAAAGTCAACAAACAAGTCCATGGGATGGATGGGGTAAGGAAAGGGAGAGCTCCATGCTGAGTAGGAGGCAGAAGTTGAGAGGAAGGAAATTTATTTACAACAAATCTAACAGGACCCCGCGTGTGTGTGTGTGTGTGTGCGCGCGCACACACATGCACATTTTATGGAGAGAATAAAGAGACAGGAACTGCTTTATTGAATGTACTCAAAAGGGATGAAAATATAAATTAGCTTTGTTTTGTTATTCTGTGCCAATGCCCTCCAGCAACGTTGTCAATCATATTCTTGCTTCTGGATGAGATCCCAAAGGCATGAATTAGCTTTACCCAGCACCCTCACATGAACAGTCTCTTTTGGTACTGCATGCCCAATTCAGTCCAGACACTTTGATAGCAAAGCCTTATTCTCTTGTATAAGTTAAACCTTATTCTCTGCCACCCAAGGTCTGGCTTTGTTTTGGAGATCTGCAGTAGGGATGATCAGCCTTTGAACTTCACTCTTGCTATCTCCCTATTCTTCTCCCTAAGCTGCATCTGGTTTTGCCAGAACTTAAGAGGATGGTAGAGAAGAGAGATGAGGCAGTCAAGTGTGGACTGATTTGGTTGCCCCTGACGTTGGTGGCCATTGAGAGAGCCCTCTCTTCCACTTCTCTCTCCCCTCTCCATAGAGTATGTGTGCTGAGGTCTTCAGAAACACCTGCTAATGTTGATCTCTCACCTTCTGCCCCCTTTTCAGAGAAGATTCTGCCCCCTGATCCTCTCTCATCACTGTGGACACTCCCCTCAATCTCAAAATCCAGGGACCCACCCCTCACAACTTCCTCAGGGAATGTGCATGCCATCTCAGAAGATCCCTTGGAACAGAATCTTTCAAGATGGCCCAAGTTCAGCTCCTTCATCAGTTTACATTTGGTACATGTCTGGAAGAGCAGGCAATTTTGAATATGACCTTGTGTCTTGGATCTCCTACCACAACTGCTCCCACTTTCCTTTAGCGTGTTTAGGTATAGATGAGGTTCCTAAGTATCAGTGAGCAGGTGCCAAGCTTTACAAGTGCTTTCCGAAAGCATTTCACAGTACTCATGACGTCAGAATTAAACATTTTCTACTCTGCTCTTCCACACTCTCCTGTAGTCATCCATAATCTTAGCACTCTCAGCTCAGACGATATGACAGCTACTACTGCTATCAATGTTGGATACTCTCCTAGAACTCTCTGATGATGAGAAAAGCCATATTTAATGCCCTGCTACAGAAATAGACACAGAAAGATGAACACATAGATACAGATAATAGAAACAGATAAATAGATTCTCTAGATAGATAGATAGATAGATAGATAGATAGATAGATATACAGGTACATAGATACATATTTTTCCATTCTGGTGTGGCAAGGTGGAAATAAGAAACTAGAGCCCTAGAATTCAAGGAAGAGAGGGGGAAAGTAGAACTCTCTGAGAGCTGATTAATAAGAGGAGAGGCAAGAAACTTCTATAACTGGATAACTGATACTTTAAAATATTAGTTGTTTCTGGATATGGGCAGAAATTCCATTATTCTAAAATCTTCATGACAATCCATCACCATGTTAGTACTGAGTTATTATAGCATTGCTTTGGATAAGGAATACGAGTTTTCATTTCCATGGTGGAAAGACGGGATGAGACAAAGTAGAAACAGGTGAGCTGTAGATGTTTAAATTGATTTCTGGTGTTTCTATTCTGTACTATTGGTCTATCCACCTGTTTTTGTACCAGTACCAGGCTGTTTTGATTATAACTGCCCTGTAGTATGTCCTGAAATCTGGTATTGTGATGCCTCCAGCTCTGTTTTTGTTGTACAAGATTGCTTTAGCTATTTGAGGTTTCCTGTGCTTCCATATGAATTTCAGCATCATTTTTTCCAGATCTAAGAATAATGTCTTTGGTATTTTGTTTGGTATCACATTGAATCTGTAAATTGCTTCTGGAAGAATGGACATTTTGATGATATTGATTCTTCCAATCCATGAACATGGCAGATTTTTCCATGTTTTTGTATCTTCTATTTCTTTCTTCAAAATTTTGTAATTCTCATTGTAGAGATCTTTGACATCTTTGGTTAAGGTATTTGATTGCTATTGTATCTATTGTGAGTGGGATTGCTCTTAGAAGTTCTTTCCCAGCCGTGGCATTGCCTGTGTATACAAAGGCTGTTGATTTTTGTGCACTGATTTTATGTCTTGCTACTTTACAAACTTCCATGAGTTCCAATAATCTTAGTGGAGTTCTTTGGATCTCCTCAATAAAGAATCATATCATCTGCAAATAGGGATAGTTTGACTTCTTCCTTCTCAATTTATATCTCTTTGATTTCTTTTGCTGAATTATCTCATGATTTTCAAACAAGACAGACAAATATATAAATTTGTGGAAGAGTTGTCAAGCTTCTAAATATTTCACAATTATTAAAAAGTGGAAGTATGACAACACAGAAATATTTAAAGACTTAAATACACGGAATAATCCAAGCATAAACTACCTACTAGTGTAATTTGCCTATTTAATTAATAGTGGCAGAAGCCTGAGGAATAGATTGGGCAATTTTCCCTCCTAAATCTTTTGAATCTTTGGGATTTTATTGCTTCATTCATTCCCTGACCCAACTTCCATTGCTCCAAGTTGCCTCACTTAGAGCCCATGGTTTCAATTTCACTTTTTATAATCAGACAGAAGTAGATATAAATAAAATGACTTACTTTCCCAATAACATGAAAGACTCTTTCAGAGATCTTTCTTCAAGGTGAAGGACATTGTGCAGAGCCACATTAGGTAGGTCCTTGTCATGATTTCCTGCATTACCATGTTTGGGCAGGCTTTGCAAGATTTGATCCTTGTGGGCCAAGATCTCATTTTTTTTTTTTAAATTTCAGAACTTTGCCAATTGACTCACAAGTGTGTTGTTCAGGTTTACCAAACACTGATTTGTAAACTAGAAAATCAGTTTGTTGATTGACAGTGATTCAGATTCAGCTACCATTTGCTTTGAGCATACTATGTATCAAACATTGAACTTGAGTCTTTCTCACCAACAATCTCATTTAATCCTTCTGTCAGTAGCCAGTGGATGTCCCCAAAGGAAAGCCTTTTCAAGAAAATGACTGTAGTTTAAACAATTTCCTAGAAACAGAAAGAGAAAGAAAATTGGGTGATCTGTGGAGATAAACGTATAATACAATCCTCAGTCCAGACCTACACCTGCTGATGAAACCAGTCCTAATGAGAAAATTCAGCCTCTTCATCATGGGTGTGCTAGACCCTCATTGGCCAAAGGCTTCTCCTACTCTCTTCATTTTTGCATGCTGACACTTTCTGCCCCTCCCTAACATCTTATTCCTTCACTTAAAGCCAGACTGCCTCTGGAGAAAGGATCCAAATGCAGCATGCTTTCCTTAACAAAGCAGAACATTCTCCATCTCTGAAAGAAACACAAAGTCTTTCTGGAATCTGATTAATATCACTTTCTACAGTAGCAGACTTGACAGTTTGCTTCCAAAGGAGATCTCTGGAGCCTTTCCTCTCCGATGCTGAGAGTGAAGTAGAAGACAACACATGTCCTCTTTGCAGCTCCAGGTGAGGCACTTATGCAAGGGCATGTACTAGGTGGGTATATAAAGATTAATAAGGTACATCACCCTCCAAGAACTTGTTGCCCACTGGGGAATACAAACATGTAAGGAAACAATTTCAGTCACTTAGCTAAAGGTTAATTGAAGTTTAAATATGGTACCATGAGAGAATTGAGGTTTGGGAAATTGTGTCTTTATGGCAATAGAAAGTATCCCAACTATAGTGATATTTAAGCAGTTTCAAATTGAGAGCAGATGTTACTACACAAGAACAAAGGGGGCAGCAGAAGGGGAAGCTATTGAAGAATGTTTAAGGAGGGCAGAATGATCAAAAGCATAAAAATGTGCAGGAATTTTAAGAAGGTTTGAGATTCTTGGTATGCCTAAAGCAGTAAGTAGAAATGAGGCTGCAAATCAGGCAGGTTCAAATCAAAACTGACTCCCATTGGTAAGGTTAGAAGTTTCAATTATATTCAGCAGTCAATAGGTATGTAATTTAAGCAATGTAATATCATTAATATATTAGAGTTTTTAAAAGATGGGGTATTAGCTTTTGCTATTACAAGAGAATACCTAGACAAGCTACTTTTAAAAGACAGATTAATTTTGGCTTATGGTTTTGGAGTTTCATAGTCCAAAATCAAGTAGGTCCCAATGAGGGCAATGATTGGCAATCAGAGTTCTTGTGGAGTAAGGATCACGTGGCAAGCCAGATAGCAGAGGGAGAGGCTAGGCCCCTCTCAGGCTTTTATAACCAACTTTCTTGTAAGATCACTTTCCAAGGCAGACCTCCAGTGACCTAAGGGTCTTTCATTAGCTCCATCTCCTAAACACCATAATTGGATTAAACTTCCACCCTCCGATTCCACTAACCTAGGACTTGAGAGTTTAAAGTCTTGCATGAGCTCAAGAGTTAAATCATTTTCTGCTATAACAGATGGATCTGATAGTACTATGACTTATTTGTTGGAGTTATTTTGTTCTGTAACTGCTAAATAAAATTAATATGTAGATGAAACTATTATTTTAGGAAAGTATATTCTATATAAATGTTTTAAAACTATTATTTTGAAAATATTATAATTTTAATTTTATACATTTTTTTTACTTGACAGGTAGAGTTATAGACAGTGAGAGACAGAGAAAGGTCTTCCTTCAGTTGGTTCACTCCCCTAATGGCTGCTACGGGTGGCTCTGCTCCGATCCAAAGCCAGGAGCTGGTTACTTCCTCCTGGTGTCCCATGCGGGTGCAGGGACCCAAGCACCTAGGCCATCCTCCGCTGCCCTCCTTGGCCACAGCAGAGAGCTGGACTGGAAGAGGAGCAACTGGGACTAGTACCCGGCACCCCAAATAAGACTAGAACCCGGGGTGCCGGTGCTGCAGGTGGAGGATTAGCCAAGTGAGCCAAGATGCCCTGGCCATCTTCTTCTCTTATACATAGTCTTTTCTGATATACCAATAGCTTGCTAAATAGTATGTACCTTGGTTATAATGGAAAGAGGGCTGAACCTTAAAACAGAAATTGGCAATGAGTCCCTATTCTTTTTGTTAGCTGTGTATCCTTGGGCAAGCCACTTTTCTTCTGTAAGTCTCAAATGTCTTATCAGCAAAAGGGAGATACTGATACCTTCTGATTTGTTAAAAAACAAGCCGCCTTGGACCTAAAAGGACTTCATAAAAGTATAGAAATGTGTGTATATGGGGCCAGTGCTCTGTGGCGTAGTGGGTAAAGCCACCACCTGCAGGGCCAGCATCCCATGTGGGTGCTGGTTCGAGACCACTTCTGATTCAGCTCTCTGTTATGGCCTGGGAAAGCAGTGGAAGATGGGCCTAAGTCCTTTGGTTCCTGCACCCACATGGGAGACCCTGAGGAAGCTCCTGAATCTTGGTTTCAGATCGGTACAACTCCGGCTATTGTGCCCAATTGGGGAGTGAACCAGGGGATGGAAGACCTCTCTCTCTCTCTGCCTCTCCTTCTCTCTGTGTGGCTCTTTCAAATAAATAAATGAATCTTTTTAAAAAAGCATGTCGGTGTAATATTTTATATATATTATATACACATATACTAAATATATATATATGTACCCATATTAAATGTACATACAAACATTTTTTTCCTTCTTCCTTCAGGATTGACAACCAGGGTTTCCAGCTCATTATATCTAGTGGGATGTGTTCACAATCCCTCAGTCAACTTAGATGACTGCCTTTCTTTTCTAGATGAAAACCACTGATGTTCAGAGAGTGATAATTAGTGGTGGAACTAGAACTGAAGTCTAGATTCCTGGGACTGTGTACTTTTCTAATTCGCAAAGAGTTTCCTAGGATGGCTTCATAACAAGCTGAACCTACATTCAAAACGAAGACTTATATGACAATGTGTATGTATGGAAAGCAATTCTGATCAGGTTCTTTGGTACAAAGGGGATTGGTTTGTTGTTTAAAAAAAAGAGAAAATGTGATGGTTAGGAGAGAGTAAAACATATTCCCACTTCTCCCTCAAAGAAATTAGATCTCGTCCTTATCACAAACTATACTCTAAACTGTAAGATTATTCCTGGTGCCATTTACAGGTTAAATATTGATTGTTTGAAATGGAAGAAGCCATTTAATTGAATGATAATTCAGTTAAACAGAAATATGTGGATTCTGGTGCTGTCTCATATGAACTTGGTGATGGAACTGTCAGTGGCAAGACTAGCTAAATTTGACAAATATAAGACATAAAAACAACTTCTCAAAGAAGTAAACAGAGTCCCATTTATTAAGAATAGATTTTTGCATTTTCTCATTAACATTTCAAGACTAAAGTGAATAGAATAAATGTATTTAAATAGATCATTCAGGTGGAAAGGGGAAATTTATCTGTTAAAAGTATAATTAAAATTCAGACTAAGAAGTATCATTTCAGAAAAAGTGGGGTACAGGTCATCAAACTGATCTCTTGCTTAAAATACCAGAGGTACTGAAAACTACTGAGCTGTAATTTTAAAAATCTCCTCAAGAGAACAGAAGAATCAAACCCAGTGTGATATTAGTAGTTCCAACTCTAAGGAAAAACGTGAAATCTTAAAAGAAAGCATAGCACTGAAACTGCTTTTGCTCCTATGGCATGTTCCAAACCAGGCAAAATTTAAACTCCAAATTTGACAGATTTTTGTAGTAAAAAGAAAGATGCCAAAGCCTAAAACTCTCCCATGATTAAAAAGACCAGAGGGGGAACCTCCTCAAGTGAGGATGGGACCACAGAAGACAAAAATGAACTGGAATTAACCATATGTCCCCACCATAGTTAAGCCCACTCTGAAGAAGGCAGGCATACAGGTTAAAATTGATTGGATTTGTGAACTGGAAGACCACGCCTTCGCCACGCCCCTGTGTGACCTCCTGCCCCTATCAGATGCCTTTGCCTCACCCCTGTGTGGTCTCGTTCACCCACCTGGCCACCTACCAGCCAATCAGGTTAATTAACCACTCCCCTTTGGAAGTGGGTTAAAAGCCAGACAAGGTGGGGCCTGGCCTGGCTCTTCTTCCCTGGCCTCTTGTCAGGAAAGGGCTTATTGTAGCCCCACACCTCCAGGGTGCATGGCCTTTGGGCCATGTGCTCTAGGCTTCCTGGCCCAGATACAGGCCTAGTTGCTCTTCCACGTGGCCCATTCCTGGTGCTTGGTATGAACCCCTATTTACCTCTCTCTCTCTCTTAAATAAAGCTCTCACTCTCCTATGCATCTTTCTCACTAAAAAAATGCTTAAAACGTACCATGCTACCTTGTTTATCTGTGCTGGTATTTAGAATTCTTTTCTAAATATTAGGCAAGAACCCTCTTGGGCTTATTAATATTGGGGATTTAGTAATAAGCCCGTGGTGAAATCGTAAGGCACCCCAAATTCCAGTAGCACATGTGGCACCCTTGATAGCATTCCTAGGCAACTTTAAGGGGCCACATTGCAGTGTAAATTTCAGGGAGTCTTCTCCGATTTCAGCAACCCAAAGGGGATTTCAGGGGAACTTTCACTGCATACAGGAATAAAAACAGATGAACAAAATGCTGAAAAATAAATAGGCATAAGTCACTTGGTAGGTATATTTTCATATGTAAATCATAAAAAGTTGGACATCAAGTGCAAAAAAAAAACCTCACATTAAAGAGACCCCAGAATAGGATTTGTCCTAAAGATCTGACAGAATGAAAACAAAGCCTTTCTGGAGAAATGAGTCTTCATATCAAGCCTCTGTGTTTCATGACAAATATTGTCAAAGACAAAAAGTAAACTAAAACTGACCACCCATGAAAATGTGCACATGAAGCAAGCATCAACAGAAACAAGAGACAACAGGAACAGATCCACAATGACGCGTGGCGCTGGAATTAAAATACTTGGTTATAAATCAACTATGCTTAAAGTGATGCAGAAGTACACACTTGATGATATGTGCACAATTATAATCTATAAAAAGTGATGTAGTAGACTTGAGAAAGAGCCAACCAGAGTGTCTAGGCTTTATAAATAAAATAACTAAAATTGAAAACTCGAGGTAGGATTTGACA